TGTAGTTCACTTATACAAACTGCCATCTGTCCGACTGTACGTATTGAATAACGCGACTCCACTTTAAAGGTAGAATTACGTACGTTCACCTATAGAAAATGCATTCCCCCAAATCTCAACTGACGATCTACTAATTTCCATGCGTACATCAAAAACATCATTCTCCGATAAAACACAATAAAAACCCCATCATTATTGAATAATCGTGAATCGAAATCAGCAAAAATTTCACAGTTTAATCTATTATTTTCTGTTGACGATTATTCAATGATCAAAGCGTTGAATCAATTGACTTCTTTGTTCTAACCTTGAACCGTGCATCGTTATCGGTGACATAAAATACGTGATCCGTTCACGTTTTCTGATGAAGAGGAAAATAATATTATTATTGAAATCGGAACAAATAAAAAAAAAATGAAACGAAACGAACGTGCAGGTATTTCGAATACGTGTCAGGACGTCGGAACGTTCGGACTTTGACGATAACGCGCGTTTTGATAACGAATCGACCTTTTGGATTATCGAAGAGTAATTTATAATAAAAGAAAAGAAGCAATTAATTCAAGGACTTTAATTAATTAGAATTTTATTAATTGTCTTCGATAAGTATTATTTTTTATTTAAATAACTATGATTGATGATTTTTTGTTAAATGTTTGAATGAATTTCTACTAAAATAAATTTGGGAAACTTTTTGGATAAAATTGATTGAAGTTTAAATAATAAGTAGATGAAACTCGAACTGGAAAACGGATTAGGCTCGAAAGTTCTCTGATCGAGGATTCCCCATCAAACGCCAACTAGTTTTCTGCTGTTATGGCGAGGCATAAAGAAAAGTTTTATTTGGATTTCCCTTCCGACGAAACAGTGGAAACAGTAAAAGGAAAAAAAACAAGTAAAGAATTAAGAGTGAAACTCTTGCGATGGAGGGGAAAAACTTAAATCGCGCGATGCACTGTTGAGTGGTTAACAAGATTGGTCCGTTATTAAGATAGCAATCAGTTTTATTTCCTGCCATAAAGACTTGATGTAATACCGTCGTACACTTTCCTTTTCCTCGCGAGATGTTTGCGACTATCGTCGTGGTTGAGATGCTAGGAATGAGACAGGGAATGGTGGAGAGAGCGAGGGAGAGACGTCTTTCGCAATTTAATACCATGTTACTCCTGTGTCGACGGAATATGACGCGCGATTATGCGTAGAGTGGGACGATTTCATCCTCTTTTCACACATACACAAAACCCTCCTCCTCGCACCCCCGTGGACCAATTCAGTGATTACTTGTTCAAATGTTTCAAGCTCGCCTTCTTCAATAAACTGGAATAAACGCCACACACCAACATCAAGCAACCCCACCACAGTCTCGCAATGAATTACGATATTGCTGCGAGAAGGTTAGCTTTTCTTTCTTTCGTTGTGATTGTTGTATTTTTGCGAGCCGTAAAGATTTGAATAAAAACCATCTCAATCTTTCTTCCTTCCTTCATACGCAGGAAAGAGGTGGTTGGTCCGACTCCTCTTGTCTTATCCTCCTACTTCGACTTCTTCTCCACCGCAACGGCAGCAGCAGCAGAAACATCGGGGGCGAAATTAAATTATCGAAACACGAATGCAAATCGCACGCTCATATTTCATGCAGACTTTATATGTATGCCTTATATATATATACATTTTTTTCTTCTTTCATATTTCGTCCTGGTGTCCTCCACTCTGGTTATCTAATATTTGAAAGTGGCGGACAAATCTTCGTCTCTCTCTATTTTTTTTCTCCCTCTCTCGCGATTCTTATCTGGTCGTAGGGAGGAGGAAGGTCGAAAATTGTATCAGAAAATTCTCCCATTTGGAGAATCGTAGGGATTGCCACGAACTACACACAAACTCACGTCTCTATACGTTTGTATAAGTTAGCCTACATTTTCTATAGGCGCTACTGGCGCCAAGCCTTTACGCCACAGACTCTTACACATTCCTTGAATTATCTCCCTCAATCGATAAAACGTCCTCCTCTTCCCCCCCCATCTTCTCNTGCACACCCAGAAGCAGCCGAGGTACGAGCTCAAGCAGAATTCACCGTTCGCTGCAAGTACAATCTTGGATGATGTCACTTTGAAGGTATAAAGTTTTCTTTTACAATTTCCCAATCAATTTAATTGGATTCAATTGCAGGATTTGGAACCGTTGAATGCAGAGTATCCGCGCAAAGACAACATCTTTCAAGTTGATCCCGAAGTGGAAGAGAGTCTTCTGTACAAGCTGGTCAATGACGATTTTAAAGCTTTGGAGATGTTGATCAACGTGAACGCGCAGTCGTCGCACAAGAGCGGCAGGAAGCAACGTCACAAGCGTCGAAATCTGTCGCGTCCGATAAGGAGCAGTCGTTTCGCCATCGACGACATCCCCGAGGAGGAGGATCCGAAGCAGGTGCAAAGCGAGGCGCTCGACGTGCAGAAGAACAGCAGCAACATCATCGAGCTGAACGATTACCGATCGTACAGGAATCTCGCCTCGAAGGAAGGTAGGAAACGGCTGAAGAAGTACATGCTCGATCCACCGAACGTCAAAAGGAGTTACATCGTGATGCCGGTTCTGGTACAATTCGATAAGGATATTTCACCGCATCTTCCTAATAACTTGTACAAAGGTATTTTTAACAGTGATAACACTGTAATTTTTATAATTTAAACTTTAATGTTTAAGCTTCGGCGACTAAACTGAAAGATGTCGAGAGGAAGCAGAAATGTATCTTCACGGACGCAACGAAAGCCGGGGATTTCCTCAAACCGTACATCTTCGATGTGGATTCGAGTGCAAGCAAGAACGGCAACACAGAGCCGGCAACGATAATGACCCTGACAATTCCCAACGAAATTCCCAGGAACGTGGTGGAAACCATCAAAGGAAGAAAGATGTCCATGGATGTTGCACAAAGCAGTAAGGTGTCTAAACCGGAGGAAGGTGCTAAAGGGACGATGCTCGTGCAGAAGATGATGAGCTACGAAAGATCAGTAATATATATATTTGTTTAATTGATTCTTCACTATTATAGAATTGATGATTTTTTTTCAGTCGAAAAAATCGACGAGTCCTCGATCCACGGTGAACGGAAAGAAGAGTGATAATCAGCAATTGATTTCGTTCATCGTGAATCCGGATAAGGCGAATGTCGTCGATCCGATGTTTCCAGGTCCGTCCACAAGGAAAAAGGGCAGTCCGAAAAAGGCGAAAGCGAAGATCGTTCCATTTGCTAACGAAGAGCAACGAAAATCGACGCCGACGATGAAAGCGATCAATAAGTTGGAGAAGGAAGTGAATTCGTCGAAGATCGACATGGAATTGACGAGCACGACGACGACGACCGTCGCGAGTCACTTGCAATCTGATCAGGAGATCGATGAGAGAGTTCAGCCTAAACACAAGAAGCGCGATCCTAAAGCTTCGGCGCAGATCTCGTCGAAGCACTCGATTCCAGCCAAAAGCACTCCGAAGAGCACGTCTCTGAATCTGCTGGAAAGTAAGGGTGCGCCGAAGCAGCAGCAGCATCACCACCACGAGGAGCCGAAGAAGAAGGCAGCGGATGAGGTGGCGAAGCGCATCTTGAGCAAATGGCAATCCCTCGAGAATCCCTCGATCGGTGATCTCGAGAACAAGGCGAAGGACCAGGAGGAGCGCAAGAGCAAAAACTACACGTTCATCAAGAATCCGGCCATCGTGGATTACGAAAACGCCAAGAACAAGAGCAGCGATTCGAAGCAGTACAGGCACTTCGCCAAAGATTTGACGGTGAATTCGGGGTCTAAAGAGAAGATACATAAGATACGGCAGGAGTTCCATTACGAGTACAAGAGGAAGGGTCCGGATGTGGAGATTAGGAAGGTGGAGGATGATGAGGAGGAGGAGCGAAAGGACGATAATGCGTGGAACAACAGGGATCTGGAGCAGTTTGTGACGCAGCACAAGGCCGAGCGTCGCAAGAGAATGGAGTACGAGATTAAACCGCAAGAGCCGAAGATCAAGCTCGAGCCGAAGAGCAGCAGAAGGAAGATGGAGAAGGTGAAGTCGATAAAGGGATTGGATAAGTTGTCGTACGCATTGCCGGAGAGGCCGCAGACGGCCGGGCAAGTGTTGGACGCGAAGGGGATGCGAAACGATGTCGGTCTGTGGTTGGAGGTGAAGAGGCCGCCGAAAGCGTTGACCGACAATAAGGCTGTCGACGCGAAGGTGTCGCGTCGATTCAAGCGCGACGCCGAAGTCGCGACGAGTCTGTTGGAGATTGACGAGGAGTGCGTCGTCGATAAGTTGGCGGCGAAAAAGAACATCGAGGATCTGGAGAAGCAGTTGGGCGAAGAGACGAAGAAGTTTTGCTTGGAGATGGATCAGGTGATCAAGCAGATACAGGATATTCCGCCGGTGGTTAAGCAGCAGCAGCAGACGGAAGATTTGATCGAGATGCTGGACGTGTGCAAGACGAAGTACGCGGCGATTTCGCACAGCATCAAGCACGTGGCCACGATCAGAGGTGTGGTGAGCGTGAGGAGTTTCGCGCAGTACTTTGGACCGACGTGCGATACGAAGAAGCAGTGGTCCGCAACCGAGTTGGTGCTCACCGGTGTCGCGGAGATGAAGAACGAAGAAGTGATCACGCACACCATCGAAACGGTGACGTTTCCCAATCTGCAGAGCTTCGCCTACAGAGATACCGCCACCGTGGAGCCTCTGGATTCGAATCTGGTGTTTCGCTTAGGCGAAGCCCAAGAAAATAGACGAGACGAGGTCGTTTCTTGTTGTCGCGGTTCGACGTTGAACAGAAACGATTTGAAGCATCTCTGGTTTCTCATTTGCGTTTACGCGGTGATCTTCGCGCTGGTCTTCAGCGGTCTCAACTTAAAGCTGGGCTGCGCTTAAATTCAATGTGTACTTTAACCCTCTGTCAATAGTGAAATTGCGGCAATAAAATATTAAACCACAAGTCATCCGTTTGTTATTCTGTAAAAAATTAAACTCTATATTACCTTCATTCCTCTGGATTCCTTCAAGAAGGTGTAGCTCATTCCTCCGCCGATGATCATCTCGTTGACCTTATCGAGAAGGTTTTCGATCAGTTGGATCTTGTCTGCGACTTTAGCACCACCAAGAATGGCCAAAAACGGAGCTTCAGGATTGTCCAAGGCTTTGGCGAAGTATTGAAGTTCCTTCTTCAGCAGGAAACCGGCGGCGCGAACATCGAAACCGTCACCTGAAATCGTTTCAAGTTAATGAATTTGCACGAATTTATATTGTATTAATAATACCCATCATGCTGGAATGTGCACGATGCGCGGTGCCGAAAGCATCGTTGACGAAGAGGTCGCCCAACTTCCTGAGACTCTGACGGAAGGCTTGAACCTTCTCCGGTTCAGCTTTGATCTTCTTGCCGGCTGCGTCGATACCTTTGCCTTCCTCCTCCACGTGGAAGCGAAGGTTCTCCAGGAGGAAGACGGATCCGGGTTTCGGATCCTGGCAGGCGCTCTCCACCTCCGGCCCTACGCAATCTGGCAGGAAGGTCACTTCTCTGCGATGGCCCCCAAAGTGTATTTTTTGTTTTTGTTTTTTTTTTGATAGGGCACAAAACAAGTAGGCGTGAAACAGATTAGAATCGGGTGAACAATGGTGATAAGAGAAAAAGAGAATCAGGGCAAATCGAATCTAAACATCAGTTTTATAAACAGAGTTCGTAATAATGTACATTTTTTTTTTCGTTTTACGATATTTATAAAAGTTGTTGTATTATTGTCGACTTTTAGATAAATAATCGTGTACTTTAAACTCTGTTGTAAAAACTGGACGTGATAAAACAGTGACAATTTCGAATTTTGCCGCCTTGATTGCGAGTTTTAATTTAAATAAATTAAAAAAAAAAATGAGGTCATCCCAGAGATAATAGGGACGACCTATTTAGCTGAAGCCAAAACATACTCGAAAGCAAAGCGTTTTGTTTATATATTTTTTTTTTCGTTGGTTTATCAAAAAAAATCTGTGCCGAAATTGCAGTAATTTTCGTAATTTGAATAAAGTTTTTTTTAAATATTATAACATTCAAATGGAGAAAGGGTTGCCACCGCCACCGAGCGAAAGTCCCCAAAGTGGTAACAACATTCAACAACAACTAAAAAGAGAATAAAAGAAGCGACAGACGACGGAGACGGCGCGGAGTTACCGAAACCGGAGAAAATTACTGGAAAAGAGTTTTTCGGAGGGTGTTATTGACGAAGATGGAGAGAGAGAAAGCGAAGAAAAAGCGGACGACACACCTAGGTCTATACCTGTTCAACAGTTTGGTCAGCTCGTCGGCGACCGGTTTCATCGTGAACTTGGGGTTCTTGTTACCATCCGGCCTTCCCAGATGGGACATCAGAACGATGCTCTTCGCCTTCTGGTCGATGGCATACTTGACCGTCTCCAGAGCGGCGACGATCCTCTGGTTGTTGGTTATGACGCCCTCTTTTAGAGGCACGTTGAAGTCCACCCTGATTATGAAACAAAACAATAATAGCAACAACAACAACAACAAAGAATGGATGATAAATACCTCATGAGCACTCTCTTTCCGGCTAAATTTAGCTTGTCGATTCCCAACTTGTTGAGGGCCATGGTTGTTGTTTTTTGAGGAAGTTGCTAGTTCGAGCGAATTGGAATGAATGAGCGGAGGTCGCGCGAATGTCTCCTTTGACCTTGCCGATTCGCCTTTTTTTTTTGAAGTTCACCGCGTTATCTACCCGCCCACCGAAGACGCGCGAGGAACGTTCGTGCATTGTCGCATGAAACAATCCATCAATTAATCGATGCTTCTGCAACCACAACTACACATTCCAAGAACAAGCAGTTGCAAATCGATAAAAAAAGTAATTATTTTATCCTTATTAGTTCATAAGACTACACTACAAACAATGATACATGAAACAAATTGACGTTTCGAGACATTTAGTAACATGAAACTGCAGAATTTAATTAAATTAAGTATATTTATTTACTAAATATAATAATAATTATAACATCTCTAGCGACACAACAAATGGTCAAATCGTACACGTTCCTTGTTTACAAATTAATTGCAACGACGACGACGTGGTTCGTTCGTTGGTTGTGGAAAATTTTTGCCGGTAAATGTGATGCCAAGTCGACCGAAATTATTCCGCACGTCCAATTCTTAGTGTAAAATAATAATAATATAAAATAACGAAACACAATTTCTTCCTTAATATTAGAGTTTGGTGTGTGTTAATGCTGCCGAATCACATCAGACTGCACTGATCCATGTTTCCTTGTTGATCCATGCCGGGAATCGCAGGTCCATTGACGACGATGTCCGCTGGTGGTTGACCGTAGTCCTGCAGCGTTTGCATCAAAGCGAGTACCTTATCGAACCTGGCCTTCTTCACCTCGATGCTATCGTCATTAGATTCCGGCTCCAATTCGTCGCAGACGGACTGCATCAGCTCCTGCTGCTTCTTGTACCGAGTCTTGTCCTCTTCTGAAAGCGTACCGTCGTTCTCCGCCAACCACACTGGGTATTTCTCCAGGATATCCATCAAGCTCGGATAGAGAACCTCCTTGCTCAGAAGACTCTGCATCATACCTTGCATGAACGGCAGAAAGGCGTTCTGCGATCCTCCACCGTCCGCCATTCCCGAGAACATCTCCATGATTGCGGAATCCGGCAACGGATTCTGCAAATTCTCCGCGCCCTGACTCAGACCCTGAAGCGTTTGCGAGATGGCAGAGGCGAAATCGTTCGTCACCGGCTCCCCGATTCCGGGATTCGAGAAGGCGCTCTGCGCCGCTTCGGCCATCCTCTGGAAACTGTCTTGGATCTGAGACAAAAAAAATGTAAATAATTTGAAAGATAACAATTTTTTTCTAATGACTAACTTGTTCGGGTGTCACGGCCTGTTCTCCATTTCCGGATCCCAGTAATGCGGCGATGTTGCTCTCGAACTGCTCCGACGCTTGCTTGATAAAGTCCTCGCTCCATTCTTGACCCTCAACCTCTTCGGCCTTTGCCTCGTCGGATTTTTCCGCTTTCTCTTCCGGTTTCTTGCTGAAGTCGGCCAAAGCACCTACGGATCAAAAGTGTTATGTAATAATGACAGGAACAAATGAAGTTCAGACGAAGAAGACTCACTGTCCAAAAGCTCGGATAATTCCGCGTCTGTCTCGGCCGGTTTCTTTTCCTCCTGTTTCGCCTGGTCACTCATTGTTATCGTTTATTTATTACGATGATGACACAACTTTTCACGTTCAAAGCAACTGAGCGAATGAAGCAGAGAGGTTAGAAGTCATCTGATTAATTCGATGTACATGAAGTAGCCTATACTCCAAACGAGTCAATCAAGTTGCATAAGTTTTCAGTATCGCAAAACTGATCATTTTTAATTAAATTAAATTAATGATTTCTTGAAACAAATCTGTTCTGGTTTCATTGCATTCTGCATAAACATAAACTTTCGTTTCGTCTCATTGGTATAATATGGTATGAAAGTGATTGATTGATACAGATGGAAACCAATGGAAACGAGAAGAAAGAAAGATGGACGAACGAAAAATATAATTTATTCTGCAAATTGTGCTACGTTCACGTTTAGACAGTTGCATACACGGAGACTCCTCTATTAGCTAACATTTATGATATTAATACATCAGTGGGTATTTGATATAAGTCTTCATTACATACGCACAAGTTCATTTGATTGATTTATTTAATAATACTGATGTCTGATAAACANNNCTTATATACAAAACAAAAGAATTACCTAACACTTGCTTCCCACGTCCAAAAATAAAATAGTTCTTGGTCCTACGCATGTATTTTCGTATATGTTTGTAGTTCGCACACGCAAAAATATAGGCCGAAATCAGAAGAAAATTGAAAATCGGTTCGTGGATAATTACAATTAAATTAGTATTAGTAGTTTGATAGTGTTGGTTTAGGCTCAAGGGTTTCTCACATTAAAAAATATGCATTTCCAAAAATAGTTTTGATTCATTTCTTGCTGCTGCTTTGCTGGGAAGACGACTTTCTTATTTGTTCTTTTTCTCTGTTGAAAGAAGATCGAAAGAGTTCACTTCTTGTTGCTGTTGTTGTTTTTGTTGTCGGAGGGTGCAGCTATCTTGTAGATGGCTTCGTACACTTCCTCCTGCTCCTTCTTCATGCGCGCCTTCATCTCCGGTGAGAACGGGTCAAAGTTGAGCACTCGCTTCTTCCGTCTGTAAATACCTTAACGAACAAACAACAAAAACAAAACAATGATGGTAAATAGTAAAAGAATTGCGTTGATCAAAGTTACCTTCTTGTCGATCGACGGCGCATTTCAACTGTCCGGGGTTGACTGGGAACTGGAGGAACTCGAGGACGGATCTGAGAGTGTTCTCGACGTTCTCCACGAGCTGCTCGTAGAAGATGACGTGCGTTGGTCCCGAGAAGTTCTTCAGCCAGTCCAGATTCGATTTCTTCCAAGCGCCCAATTTGTCATAAACGAATTGACGCCAATCTGTAGAGCAGCAGATTTATTTAACAAAATTTGAATATGATAATAATTGATAAGTGCGTGCGTACATTTGCCTTTCATCCTTCTGTAACGATCCGGCGATGCGAAACCGACGTGTCCGCCGGATTGCCGATTGAATTCCGCTTGGATCGCCGGACCCGGTGCGCGCACCAGGAGCACCGCTCTCTGGAACTGCTTGCGCGCCAACGGACCCCATTCGTGCGTTTTGACGACGAGCACGGACCCGTTGGTGGTGCTCTCCGCGGGAAAACCGTTCTTCAGGAGGCCGTAATCCTTGTAGACGGACCCGGTGAGCGTGCCCGTCGCCTGCTGCAGCAAGTATCTCAACCAGGTGTTTCCGCTGCCGGGGAACGAAGCCAGAGCGACGGACTCTTTCGGAACCTTCCGGTAACTCAGATCGGAGCACCACTGGATGCGCGATCTTCTGTACGGTTTACTCTTGGAGGAGAGCAGCGATTGGGATTGTTCATTCGACTGCAAACAACAAAGTATTTCTACAATTCTATAGTGATCTAAATGATTAACTTACTCTGGATGCGAATCCGTTGGTTTTGGGTTCGTGCAGAGTGACTGCGGACAGAAGGAGAACGCCCACCAGGTACAAGGTGATCAGCAGTCCAAGGGCCCAGAACCTCGGCCTCGTCAGCTGCATTTGTCCAACTCATCCATTCCTCTGGACTCTGCTGCTGCCGCCTCCACTCGCATCGGCTGCACTCAACGCAATCTGCGGGTAAAAAAATTTTGTATAAGTGCACTAATATAGTTCACTAATTGGAGATCCACAATTCGCAGTCTATTCGAGAGATACGTGCGAATCTAGATAACGAATCGCCATTTAGATTACGGCGATACGGGCGCCCCACGTTCGGCGCCAAAATTCTATTAAAAAACTTCTACTAATTTTTCCAAAATTCCATCAATTTCTACAATTTTTTTTTCTCAATTTCTGTAATTTCCAACAATTTTTAATAAATTTAAAAGAATTGTATAAGTGCACTAATATAGTTCATCAATTGGAGATCCACAATTCGCAGTCTGTTCGAGAGATACGTGCGAATCTAGATAACGAATCGCCATTTAGATTACGGCGATACGGGCGCCCCACGTTCGGCGCCAAAATTCTATTAAAAAAAAACTTTAACATCCTCATCTTTATCTTACTCGCACACTCGATCCATCAACGAAAATATTGAAGTTCGTTGAATTTACGAATTGTGCGATTCCTTCAGAATTCGACCACCGGTTGCTGCGCGAAGAACGAATCGAGCGACAACAGAAGAAAAAAAAAAAACAAAAGAAAATAAAAACAAAGGGTGTTGTTTCGTTTCCATGGATTGCAATTGGGAGGCGGCTGCGTTTTCATTTTTTTTTTTGTTGGTTCCGGATGTCGTGTTGCCATGAAACGGGCGAGACGCTGATAATCAATATTTGGCTGTTCCGAATCACCGCCTCCCGGATCAACAACATCACACAACCACCCCCGCCGCCCCCCACCAACGAGAAATAGTGCATATGTTTTTACGAGTTGGAGAGAGAGAGAGATTTGAATCGATCGGGGAAGCAATTTTCCGCAAATCCGAAACCGGAATTGAAGAGAAGAATGGGTGTTGACCCAATTACAATCGACTAACCCTATGCGATTTTGTTTTTTTATTTAAAACAAAGAAGCGATGACACGAACGAAGCGGAATCAAAACAAATGCCATTGTGTTTATTTGTTTTTAAACGAGACCGTTTGTTTTCGTTTGGGGGCGCCTTCTGGATGATTTATCTATTAATCCTTGCGCAACTACAGAATACACACAAATGTGACACACCACCACCACCCACCCACGACTTACTATGATTTATTTATTTTTTCGGTTCGTTCGTTTCGGTGCGATCCGATTAACTTGCTGCCCATCGATGAACGTAACTCGATTACTCAATTGATTTTTCCTCTTCAATCCCGCGATTTTCAACCCTAGAGAAGAGGGTGTTTGTGTTTTCTTTTGTTATGTTATGTGTGTCGCGCTTGAATGAATGCAAGCAATGGTTTTTTTCTTGTATTTTTTTATTTGTTTATGTGTGCTTTAAAGCGCGATGCGAAGCGGTGCGTCGGGGCGGTCGGCCGGCCGGAGCGGAACTGAGGCGACGCCGACGTCTCTCGCAAATCCCGGCGGCCGCGCGCGTTCGCTAGGCGGAAAGGGCGCGCCGCGACGCTCAATCTGAAACAAATGCACGACGACGACGCACAACAACAACAGTAGACGATCGAATCGGTCATGGATTGAAATTTCATGGCCCTGTTGATTACTTACTGTAACAACAACAACAAAAGGCAGAAACAGCAAATTTTAATTGCGTTCATCAATTCGTTGGAAATTGAGAATGCGACCGTTAAATCATTTGAAAAGAACGATAGAAAGAAACTGTTTTTACAGTTTAAACGCTATATCCTCCTGCTTAATTGTCTAATTAACAACATGCAATTAATTCATTAAAAACGAGTGATTGTTAATGTTGACTGAAAATCTTAGAATTTTTTTTTCTAGTACAGATAAATAGCAATTTTTAGTAATTTCTTCTAATTCCAACAAGTTTAACATATTTCTAATAATTTTTACAAAATTCCATCAATTTCTACAAATTATTTTTT